GCCAGGGTCAGACAGACAAAAGCAAGTCTGAAGGTTTTAGTTTTCTTTTGAAAGCACAATCTAATCTAGGAGCTGGGAGACACAGATAAGTAATAGCTAGTGATGATGAGGGCTTGAAATATAATCAGAATAGTGATTATAGAGAAGGGTAGATTCAATTGATTTGTAGGTATAGAGAAATAGAACTTGGTAACTGACCAAATTCAGGTTGTAAGGGCAAGACAGGACTTAGGGAAGCTTCCTAGTTTCTCCCTTAGATTTCACATTTTTACTGAAATAGGAAATACAATGAGAAATTCACCTGCTACTCTCTCCTACTTCCATCAGAGACATTATAAATGAGATTAATAAGGTCTCCACAGGACAAATATCATACATGCAAACATTATGACAAACATCTAATGTGCATTCATTTGAGGGGAAACATTGCGCTGACTTTCAGAATATTAGAGTATGGGTGTACAGGTAAACAATGTTAAATCACCTCAATCATGAAATCCTCCTAGAAGTGTCAATTACTCAACTACAGATGTGTGATCCTATTGATTTTTTATTAAAAATAGCACTAGAATAAATTAGTAACATATCCTCAAGGGTGGGAGATTTTGAATTCATATACTATCTGTTCTCTGTGTGTGTTTGTATGTATGTGCGTGTGCATACATGTGTGCACACACGTTTGTGCAACTGCATGTGAAGACCAGAGAAGTGTGTTAGGTATCTTCCTTGATCACTGTCTACCTTATTTCCTTGAGACAGGGTCTTTCATGGAACCTGAAAGATCACCATTTGGCTAGGTAGGCTGGCCAGTAACCTCCTGGGATCCACATGTCTCTGTCTCCCAAAGCTAGGGTTATAGGCACAAAGGGCCATTACCTGACTTTTACATAGGTGCAGGGGATCTGAACTCACTGGTGCATAGTAGTGCTCTTACCCACTGAGTCATCTACCTGAACCCTATTGTTTGTTCTTAATGTTAGGAAACAATACAAAATACTACTTTCTGTTCAAATGTACAGAAAGCAGTGCTGTTCAACTCTGACCCTGACATTTCATTTCCTTGCCACATGAGCCTCAATAGATATCCATTGTCCTGAGCTCAGTAAAAGGCCTTTAGCACAGCATCCAGTTAGTCACAACACCCCAGGGGTAACTTGTGCATGAGAGAACTAGGAAGGGGGGTAGACTCACGGTTGGTGTCCTTTCTTTCTTTATCTGTATTATCAATGAAACTGCCATTTTAGGTTTTCTCAAAATAAATAAGTAAATAAAAAAGCTTGGCTGAAAGCCAACCAATGCAGGGTGCTTCCTGGATAAAAGTGGGACTCAGGCAGCACAAAGGTCTCAGTGAGGGGGCTGGATCTGCCTGTACATCACCCCATGATGTGACTCCTTCCAGCAGAGATTTGTAGAACTGCAAAGATTTCTATTAAATGACTCCTCAGGCTCTTGTGCCTCAGGATTTTAAACACATAGACTGACATTTTAATTAGAGCTAGAGGGAAACCTCTTAAAAGAGGCAGTTTTCCAGAAATTAAAAAGGTGTGTGATTTTACAGAGAAAGACATACTTGATAACCTAAGTGGCTGCCTAACAAAAAACATACTTCTAATATAATTATTTCCACCTAAAATATGTGTCACATTTTGCAGGGTTTGAAAAGAATTTTGATACAGTCACAGAATGACACATACATTATTAAAGAGTTTTAAATGACAACTTTACCTCATAAAAATGCCATAAAAGCCAAGCATTAAGCTCTCCATTGACTGCTACAAGTCAATGGGAACACTGGGCAGTTCTGAACCAGGGTAAGGAACTTTTTTGTTATAGACACCGCAAATTCACTGCTGCTCAATACTTTGATTGGAAACAAATTGGAACCTAAAATTAAGCTTTCATCAGTCACCCAATTCAATCCCACAGTCATTTAAACACTAGTCCTGGATTAATAATTTCCTCATAGTTGGTGAAGATAAACATAAAAATAAATCAGCTATTCCTGGGAGAATGTATGCTGAATATCTTTTAAGAGGGAAATCTGGCAGCTACCAAAGTTTTAAACAGGCATAACATTTGACCCACCCATTCCTCAAGATACATAGTCAATGGGCAAGGACATGTGCACATAAACCCACTTGCTGTAACATGACTAAACAGCAAAGTCACTCTATGTTTGCTAATAGGGGAAGGGCTAGAGTATGATGAACTCTCTGTATTATGGAATATGATGTGTGTCCTTAACAACATGAATAATCAGTGTGCTGATACCGAAATGGCTTTCATAAGAGAAAGATGAAAGCTGCTGCTCTTTGAGTTTACTAGATTATCCCTTTTTATTAATACAGAAGGTCACAAATGGCCAAAGTATAGAGACTAAGAGTCTGCAGAATGGACCTTGGACAGGACTCTGATATTAAACTATACCCACCCAGGGCTTAGGGACTATTGCATAAGAGGGTAAGGAAAGATAATAAGAGCAGGCAAGTAGATGAGTCCTACAAGCTCCTGGGATCCTGCTCATATGAACCTACAGCAATGGTGTCAGCATGCACAGGACCCACGCAAACTCAGACAAAGACCCAACATAGAACTGAGGAAATGGGCAGTTGACCCCCACCTTAGCTGAAGAAATATTGGCAACTGATTACTGCTAGGTGAGGAAGAGCTGATTTTCGTAAAGCGAGAGTCTAGATAGGCTGACTAGACCTCAGACGATGAACTTGCCCTGAGGGATATCCAGGGACACTAACTTGACACAATAGGCCTTAAGACAAATGACAGAATGTGTGAATTCCAGTGTGGGGGGGGTTATGGGAGGGTGCCAGTGGGGAAGGTGGTATTAAAGATGATTGAGATTAAATGAGATGTTCTGTATGAAATACACAAAAATTCAACAAAAAAGAAAAAATACACAACGTGTGTTATAAAGAAATACATTAGGGGGCTGGAGAGATGGCTCAGTGGTTAAAGAACACTGGCTTTTGTTCTTGCAGAGGACCTGGGTTTGATTCCCAGCACCCACACGGCAGTTAACAACTCTCTGTGACTCCAGTTCCAGGGGAATCCAATGCCCTCTTGTTCTGAGCTTCGAGGACATTGAACATCACAGGTGCACTCATGCACATATACAGACAATACACTCATACACAAAAAATGGAAATAAAATATTAAAGAAAAGAGCTACCTCAGAAAAAAATACACCAAATTGTTACTATGTGTTTGGAAATGGGAATGTATGGTGTATCATTTTTTTTTTTTTTACACTACAAACCCATTTGAAATATTTATAATGAAACCTTTTATACTTTTAAGGTGACTAATGATTTTTAAATGTTCCATGATTTGGGGGAATATGCAAATGTCTTTTTAATGAATTAATCTGTGAGATGAATTCACTAAAACTTCCAACTTTAGATCTTAAAATGTTAGCCATCTAGAATTTTGATAACCTGGAAAACCATAATAGTTTATTATCAGATAAAAATCACACGGTCAACCCAATAACAAACTGCTTGTTTGATGGTTATAATTCAATATTCAACTCAAAAGTCAACTAAAGATGCCTCTGCTAGGTGGACTGACATAATTTCAGAGTTAGAAAATTTCATTGATGGGAGGTGGGAAAAACTGCACTTTGATCAAAATCAATCCTAGTGCTCTGGAGGCAAAGGCAGGTGGATTTCCATGAGTTCCAGGTCAGCTGGGGCTACAGAGAGACCCTGTCTCTAAAAAGACCAAAAAAAAAAAAAAACTTTGAACTAAATCTCAATTTAGTTATGAAGGCTGAAACAAAAAGCGCCAAGGACCGAGAACCAAAATTAAGGCCCAAATCATATCCATCACAGGAGTAGGATTTGCTGTGCTAAATACACTACAGCAAAAGAGGGATGGGGGTGAAGACAAACCAAAAGAAAAAGGTGGTCTACTCGCGTCTTTCAAAGTTTGATTTCTGATCCTCACAGTGGATCAGAGGACAACATGAAAGTATCTGTGATAATTTTCATAACTCTCTTTATTTTGTGAAGGCAGAAGTGCACATAATCACCTTTTCTCTTTCTGTGGGAAAATAGGGCCTTGGATCGCCTGGGCTCCACGCTGAACTCTGGGTGGAACTCACCAGGGCAGTCACCTGGCCACGCGCTGGCTGAGATGCACACACCCTTTTCCTTTAGAGATTACTCCAATCACCAACTGGCAAGTAAGTACTAGAGAGCGGTGACCAGTCAGCGACTGGAAATCCTCCCCAAACCAAAGAAAAACACGATCCCAGCCAAACCCAGCAAACCTAGGCGTGGGCAGGGTATTGGCCAGGAAAGCGCTGCTAAACCCAGCGCTGCGATCCCACACGTGCGACCCACACCCACTCGGCCACCAGTGCAAAGCAGGGAGCTCCAAACCGGAAGGCGACAGCGCAAGGAACTCCCAGGACAGGGAAGGCAGCTTCTTCCCATTCTCTCCGTCCTCTCCGGACAGCTTCGGCCCTGCAGCTACCTCACGCCCATCCTGTCCCACCGGGTCTCGCCGGTGGCCCTGTAGCTGGCACCCAGGTGCTCCCAGAGCTGACCCGCAGCCGGGCATGGAGAAACGAGGGCAAATCGCCCGCATCGAAGGGACAGCTACTCACCTTCATGATCCTCGTCCCGGATTCCGCAGCAAACCCCAGCGCTGAGATCCTGGGGTCCGACACCAGCCCTCCGAGTTTGGGGAGCAGCCATTACTCAGCTCGTAGAAAGGTGCGGGACGTGGGCGGAGAAATGCGGGGGTGCACCAATAGGAATGCGCCTGGGGGCGGACGCTTTCCCCGCCGCGGTGTTTCCTCCCCGCCTTCTCTGCACAGCCACCCGCAGGGCCAATAGGATGTGGCGACCGGAATTGGATTTCCCCGCCCCTATCCGCTATAGCCACGCCCCCTTCCGGGACTCGGAAGCCGAGAACTACAATTCCCAGCATGCTGCGGGCGCAGTGGAACGGGAGCGCTGGAAGAGGCGCTGACGGGCGGGGGTGCGCCCGAGAGTGCCCCGGCGTGTTCGCTTAGTTCAGTGAATCAGAACAATGACTGCGCCGCCGGGTACCCGGGAGCGTGTCGGAGGACTGTGAGCAGCCACCGCCGGGAGAGCGGCGGGCGACGCAACCTCGGCCGAGCGGTGACAGCGCCGGCTCGGGAGCCTCGGGTGCAGCCCCTGCCCAGCGCCCGCAGCCCGCGCGGAGCCGCCGCGCTCCGGCGCTGCAGTCGTTCCTCGGGAGCCCAGCATTGTTGTGAGCCGCTCGAGGGGCGAAGGGATTACAAAGCCTGGAGACCCGGAGCCCCCTTTTAGCCATGTGGATACCTACGGAGCACGAGAAATACGGCGTGGGTGAGTGTCGCGGGCGAACTTTTATCCGGCTGCAGGCGCACGGTGCCGGTCCTACCCCCGCGCCGCTCTCCTCGCTGCCTGGCTGCAGATGTCGGATCTTGGCATCGCGCGCGGGTCCCGGGCTTGGCCGCGCCAGCCTCCCTTCGAGGGGCGCGCGCCGGGGTCTCTCTCCTCCATCAGCCTGGAACCCGGCTCCGTAGCGCGGCGGGACAGCGGCTCCTGGCTCTGCTGGCGGAGTTTGGAGCAGCGGCGGGGCGGGTTGCGTGTCAAGTTGGAGGAGGAAGCCAACAGGGCTCCTCTCCCTCCAGCCCCTTCATGCCTACAGTGGCGGGGAGAAGGCATTGGGCTGCTAGGATTTCTCCGGGTGGTGAGGGAAACCGCGATCGGCGGTAAGAACATCCCCCAAACAGTGGGGGAGGCGCAGAGTGCCTGTGGCTGGGGTCGGCATTTCCAGAGTGCGGAATGTGGCACTCGGAGGAGCCCCGGTGACAGACGGAGCCGGGACGCAGCCTTCTTCCCCTCTTGCCTCCCGGTTGTCTGAGGTGTGTGTTGCGGGCGGGGGTTGGTAAATTTCAACATCTGTGCTGCTGCGCTCTTTGGTCCTTGGACAGGAACCGATATTTCGGCAGTGCCTTTTTCTTCTGGCCACCCTCTCAGCAGCGGATGAGCGCAGTGGGGGTCGTGGAGGCCGGCTGCAAAGTGGTGGTGGAGACGAGGGTCCGAAAGCCTGGCTCTTCCTAGCCTGGGAGACAGCTTTTGGTAGAGGACTACCCTGGCACTGATGTTAGGAGAAAAAGGAACAGGATAGCGCTCACTGTTCTGTGCAAAGGTGAACAACAAAGGACATTAATGTTGACTGATGAATACAGGAGGCTCCCTTCCCTCCTCCCTTTTCTAGCGGATTACAGTTCCCGTTTTTGTTGTTTGATTTCAACTGGGTCGCCCCTTGACAGTTACTCCTTTTAGGCAGTTAGAAGCCAGACTCCCTGACAAGCCTGAAGCGGCCAAATGCAATTATAACCTCCCAGAAGGTCTAATAGAGAGAAAGCATTATGGATTTTACTGACAATCTTTATTTCCTATAATGCTCCGTCTTGTCGATTGGCGTTCTTGTTTTCACTGGGGACGGACCTACTGATTTATATGAGGTAGAGATATGTTTATGTTTTAAATTCATTTTCCTGTAATTAAAAAAAAAATCTGGGAAACGTTTCAAGGGAGTCCCAATCACTGGAGATTCTTTTTTTCTACTTCGACTGGGGCTAGGACTTTGGAATCTACTGAAGGGACTCTGATTAGACAAAGTCATGCTCATATTTTACACGAGCTTTCCTTTGGTCGGTGACTGGTTAGCAAGACAATAGTTTGTGGTGAACCCACCTTGGAGAACGGTTTCCAGCTTTCTAATGTAAGGCGAACCTTTGCCAAATGCTCTTCCAGAGAGGAGTTGTTTTCCTCCTCCTCTCTCTCTTTTGGGGGCTAGATTAACCCTTGCCTGGGAGGAGATTTTTCCTTGTCTGAGCTGGTGAGGAACCCTAACGCATCCTCTCCTAACCGGCCTTACCACCTTTAGTACAGGAGCGCAGACCCACCGGGGCTAGTGTCCCGCCTAGAGTCGATCCCGGAGGTTGTTTTCTTCCAAGTGTTAAATTATACAGATTATGGATGGCATTTATTTTCTTGATTTCCTTATGTGCCAGGTCACAGCTGGAGTGCTAGTATCGATTAGTTCTTCTCTCGCCTTTCTTTACAAGCTGTGGGCAGAAGCTTAAAAACCACTCTGGGATTTCCTGGAATGGCAAGCCGGATATTATCTATCAGTCAAGTGTTTGGGGCTGCAGCAGACCAGCATACAATGGCTGGGATTTGGTTGCAGAGTAGGAAGAGGTAGGAGGGTGTGTGCATGTTTGGGGATAGGAGATGGAGTAAAATGAGAGGTGAGAGCAGGGAGGGTCTTCTGCCCCAACTTATTGTTGGGGTTCTCATTTATGCAATATCATACATTCAGGAATGTTAATCATCTTTTATTAAGTTTTGAGCATTTGGCTTGTGGAATGCTTGGCTGTTTTTGAGAATCCATCTGTTAGGCATGTGTTTGATGAAAATTTTGCTAGGATACTTCTGTGTGGACTTCATTTCTCACCAATGAGAGCTTGTAGCTGCTTATACTGCAAAGTCTTTTTTTTTTTTTAATTTTGAACTTGGTTATGGATTTGTCTACCTATTACTTGCACTTAGTTCTTATATTAAAATATTTTATGGGCATGGATATTTGGCTCATATTAGGTATGGAAGTAAGTCGATTTCCTTATTCTTTGCAATAAATCTGTAAATTAGAATACCTGAGGTTTCAGTGTAAGTGCTGTATTTTTGCCATGATACCTCTTAAGAATGATCTTTTACATATGGGATATTAATTTCTATATAATTTATAATTAAATCTAAAATAATACAGATATGAGTAAAACCACTTAAATTTTATACTTGTAGCAAGATGTATTAGAATATTAAGGTGTATCAGAGACCGAAATTAAAATCTAGTACATAGGAATTATTTCTAACATTTAAATGATGTGAGCTATAAATTAATTAAATTTAATTAAAACGAGCTATACTTTGTCATGTTCCAAAGCGTTATGATTCTAGGAAAAATACAGCAGCAAAGCTAGAGGGATAGGGAGCCTTGTCTTTTTAAAAACCTATTAGTGACTGGGCCTGGTGGTTCAGACTAATCATCCCAGCTACTTTGGAGGCTCAGGCAGCTGACATACAAGTTCAAGGTCTACTTAGGCTACAAAATGAGTTCCAGACCAGCATAATCAACTTAGTAAAACCCTAACTGAATCGATCAATCGATCAATAGATAGATGGGCTAGAAATAGAACAGTGGTAGATCACTGGCCTCACATGATCAGTGATCCAATGTGAGAGCCTGGGTTTGAAACCCAGCACTGCAAAGCAAACGAAATGCATAAAGAAGCACAGTGATAGGCTTATTTAGTTGGGCAGATATAATTAGCTACTGCTCTAGCTGACACACTGCTGTCCACAGTGTAACTAGAGGTAAGCCATTTAACCTGAGTCCTAGTCTCTGCAGCAAGTGCCATACAGGGTCCTTCCCAAGACTAATTCTGTAGAATTCTTACAACTTCCTTTGGTTATCAAAACATCTCCGTTGGGCATCAAGTGCTTACCGGAGAGATGTTTCTGTTGTGACATGTCCCATGTGGTTTTAAACTAAGATCGAAAGTAAGCCCATGCAACATGGAGGCTGCCAGAACCCAGGTGACCACTGCCCCCTTTCTCAATCATGTTTTGTCTCTCGGGGGTGAGCTCCATGGGCAGAGAGCGACTCAAATATTCTCCATCTTCCACTCATAAAAATGCCCTCCAACCTCTCTGCCTCTTTCATAGCCTCATCTGTTCTTGCCCTCCTCTTCCCTCATACATGGTGGGCATTATGCAGAAAGAATGTTAAAATCACTGCACGTTTATGCCCATTTGTCTGCCATTTATGCATAACAGTCCTAGGAGAGACAGTGGGTCTTCTGAGCTGCAGGTTGTTCCCTCTCAAACCTAGACAGATCTTTTACTTGTGTGAGTCTGGTGAAGCTTGTTTGGCCAGAGAATATGGGCTAGGAAAAAAAAATTCAACAAAAAAGCCCCAAGAAACAAACTCAGAACAAGCTGTCCCGAAGGTCATGAGTGGCATTTTTGAAGTAAAGTACTAAAGTCCTGATATCAATGAGTCCTCTGAAGTCCTGATATCAGTGAGTCCTCACAAACGTTCCTGTCTTGTCTTTCTCTGGAATTGGTTTTAGAACCCACTGGAGTAGGAATCACATTCCTTGTTAAAGCATCTTCAATTTAAGGAAGAGATACCTCCTCTTTTCTAGTTTGTTTTTGTTTTTGTTTTTTTTTTTTTTGAGACAAGGTCTCCTTGTAGTGCTAGCTGACCTAGGATTTGCTATGTAGACCAGGCTGGACTTGATCTCATAGAGATCTGCCTGCCTCTACCTCCTGAATGCTGGGATTAAAGGCATGTGTCATCATGCCTGGCACCTTCTCTTTCTTATTCAGGATCTTTAGTCTCTTTTCTTAAGGGTGCTTTGATGGTAGCTTATGTAGGAAAATTAGGAGGGTGTGTATCTTTACTCTTGGCTTTTGTCAGTTGTATAGCTGTTTTTTTTTTTTTTTTTAAATGTGTCCTATTTGTGCTTCTGCATTGAAACTAGAGGATACTTATAATGTACCTATAGAGCTAGATAGCTATTTAGGCTCACTGGTGAAGTTCAGGGTCTGATTCAGAACTCTATACTGTAAGTGAGAAGAAAGAATAATGAGAAGGGTTGTATAGACCATAGGGCTGATGGTTCTGATCCAACCTCCTGTGGCAACAGCCTATAAGAAAAAAACAAAACTTTTCCTTCTTTTGGTCATCCTGTGTGATGATACATATGATCCCCATGGTAACAGAGATGCTGTCCTTTCTCTCTGGTCTCTTTTCCCTTTAGAAGATATTATATAGTAGGCACCATAAAGATTATGAGATTTCAAGAAATGTGGATTTTCCCCATTTCTACCTGTGCCCAGTACCAACATTTTCTATCTTTACTACAACATATCTAAGTTTTTAGGCGCACTAACTTTATCTTGTGAGCACATGTATCAGAAAACCATTAAACGCTAAAGAAATGGAACCAAAATGCTGGTAATATAGCCTATTAATACAAAATTTCATAGTTTAAAAAAAGTGAAATTATTTTATTTGAGGCTGCCGTCTGAAGCAGAATGTAACTTACACTTAAGAGATGAGGAAACAGTAACAGATCAGTAGCTTTTATTTTTGTTCTGTCATCCTAAAAGAAATACATTTAGTTTCCTATTATGTACATACATATTTTGCATTTATTACCTATTTAGTACCTATTATATACATATGTACTCTCTGGTACTACTTCATACCTGCAAGCAAAACCATGCTTGCCCTTACTTTGTGT